TTCAGATCAGATTTAATGCCGCCCGCTCTGGCCCCAGGTAAACATTTAACTATGGTTGCTGGAGACTCTAATGTCACGTTTCTGACTATGGAGCTGCCAATGATCAGAGTCAGCTTGTCAGTGGGTGCGTCACTGAGCGGGGAAAATCTATTAGAAACGTGGACGGGTTGGTGGTGGCCCACGGGCTGGGTTCTATGCTTCCTGCGTACCGTCACCCAGCCGGCCTGAGGTCCCGGCTGCTCGGGTTCTGCTGGAGGGTCGCTACAGAGTGGTTCTGAGCCAGTCAGCCCCGCGCTAGCTAAGTAGCTATGGCTATTCAGGGGTTTTTCAACAGCGCGGAGCCGGGACTCCAATTCCGACACCCTCGCCTCCAAAGCTACAAAAATGCTACATTTATTACACGTACCATTATCACTAAAGGAGGCAGAGGAGTAACTAAACATCTGACACAGAGAGCAAGAGATAGGAGACGGAGAAGCAGAGACAGAAGTAGCCATAGCCGTGCTGAGGTTAAGCTAACTGGACGAGCAAACTGTTCAACACCAAATAAACTGCGTGCAAACTCAAATGGTTCCCTAAAAGCTTGGTGGGGCAACAGAAAATGTGTGTTTTAGCGTGCTTTTGTGCTACAATAACTCAGAGATATCCAAGTACAGAGAAATTAAATCAGTTTTAGCGAGCCCCAAACACCAAACAGCTACACGTAGTGCAACACTGAAAACAGGAAACGCCTTACCGCCAGGTGCAGCCCGCTCTAAATGTTTATCTTAGCACTTTGTTTACTTCAAAAATGATTACCTGAGTTCTTGCGATAATGTAACTCTTTCTTGTGGGAATTAAGTTGGTCCCGCACTTGAAAAACATTGATCTTTGAGCGCTTTATAAGGCCTTTATGCTTTTAGCTTTGCATACACAATCGTTAATAGCTTGGAAACCCAAACAAAAGCAAAAGTTCCCGATACAGGCAGGCACTGCAAATATGGTTAGCATGTGGCTGTAGTTAGCATCTGCATTTCTCAGAGTGCTCAGTTAAACAGAGGTTATACATTTTAAAAATGTGAATACACTTCATCGAAAAAAGAAAACTTGTTACCCTCAATAATACGAATGTGTAACTTACTGAAAAAGATTTCTAAACCAATGTCGCTGCTTCGTCTTTTGTTATCCACAACTTGCTTTCTCACGTGTTACCTGATCTGAATTCCTTCTCTTTAATTGCGGTCGGCAAAATATGCGCGCGCAACTGGGTCACCTCCCACCGGATTGGAACAGATCTGCATCTGCAAACTGAATGTGAGATGCCTCCTGAAGACAGCATCCAGTCAGGCTCCATGTTGGAATCATAAAATGGATGTGACAGAACGCGGATGTCCCAGTCTGGATCCGGATCCAGACAGGGGTCAGCTGTCTGGGAAGCTGCTTCACCTGCTCCTGGCTAAACTCCAGAGATGTTCGGACGTCCTGGAACTCCTTGTGAAGCACCTCTAGCAGGTGGAGTCGCCCCTCAAATCCCAGAAGCCATTTATCTATGGACTGTAGTAAATCTAAGACATCCTTACGGGGAGATGAGGCCTCGGGCGAGTCCTGGCGATGGCTCCTCTTGGTCCTAGGTGTTTCCATCTCAGCTGCTGCTTTCTTCGGTCCCATGACAAAAAAACTCAAAAACCTCGTCAATATATGTTTGCAAACTTTCTAAATTTTCTCCACTTACCTCCAGGTTGAGTGTGTTATATTTACCAGATTCATTTTTTGCGTTGTCAGTGAGTAAATTAGGCGAAAATGCGTCTTGTTTGTGGAAGTTGATTAACGAGCTGCCATCTGCTTCAAACGCTGCTGTGTGTCCGGTGATCGGCCATCAGCGCATGCTCAGTCCTCCTGCTCTCACCTGCATCCTTTGATCGTTCCTAATGTCCGTCTTCTTAAGTCAATACATCTTTGTAATTTCTCTTTCAACCCCTTTTCTGTTAATTTACGTGTCCTTCTCTTGTCTTTCATCCTCTATCATGCTCCCTTCATTTTGATCAGCCATCTCACAAATGCAGTTTATTGACCCTAGCTGCATGCACCATTTATCTTCTCTTTAAATCAAGTTTCTTCTAGTTAAGACATATTGTAGCACCGCTTCTTATAACCCTCCCACTGTCTTTATGGGTGACCCTGCGAGGAAAGTTGACCATTGAGCAGGATTGATGATTTATCCTTTGAGGTCCATGTGGCAGGGGTGAGGTGGTGCCAACTCCTCACCCCTGCCACATAGATCCAAGGGATAAACCATCAACCCTGCTCAATGGTCAACTTTCCTTGCGGGGTCACACCCATTAGGACAGTGGGAGGGTTAAATGGCCAAAAACTTCACACTGACCGTCATCAAATCCCTGTGTTCACTGGATGCAGTCCGCAGACACCAAGAGAAAAAAAGAGACCGACAGTTCCGCATGTTATACTTTCGTTTTCCACTGAACTTCACGTGCATCCAACTCACGTCCTTTTCTGTTTTCAGCATGAAATATGAAAAGGATTTGTTACCTTCTTTTGAGTAATAATCCATTGTTAATGCCGGCATCTTCATGGCAGAGCAGCGCTCTTAACTTTACATCCTCAATGTGCCGCACCTGCTGCGTCTCTCTGCAGCCTGTGCCATGCTGGTCTGAAGCCAGTTTTTTTTTACTTAAAATGTGGTAAAATGTGGTGGCAATCCGGTTCTTTTTCTTCTTTAAGTCACCATTGGAAGTTGGTTGAGCAACTTAGATTTGTAATCACGCGAATAATACCAGATGATCTTCTTTATAAAAAGATGGTTTAATTAAAAATCAAATCGTGGTACAACTTGGTCAAAAAACTGTATTGCCTCCTTACGCTCCATCTACCCCCCCCAAAAAAACCAAACCTTCTATACAAGGAATTATGGGATACAGGAAGCCCAAAATACAAAGAAAATGTTTCTGAATCTAACACTTCTACATTCTATGATTATAACTTGTGTTTCTGTATTTTTTAATGAAATTAATTTTTTCAACATCACAAATATGCAATTTTTTAAACTTATTCACTAATATATCCTAAATTAATTAGAAACTAATTGGCTCTTACACTTTACAAAAGCTTGCTAAGCCCCTGCGCGCACACACATTCTCCTCCTCCTCCACTCCCCTGCTCTCACAGATGGAATTTTTTTCCATCAATAACACCTTCAAAATAACTCATTATGTCTTGCGTGAACTGTAATGTGACAGTTTAAATCTGTCTTGTCTCTAAATCTTTGACCACAGGTCTCACACAAAAACAGGTTTTTCTCCTGTGTGGACTTTCATGTGAACGTCTAAAGCTGCCTTTTGGCTAAATCTTCGACCACAGGTCTCACAGGCAAAAGGTTTTTCTCCTGTGTGGACTTTCATGTGAATTTTTAAAGCTGCCTTTTGGCTAAATCTTTGACCACACACTGAAAAAATGGTAATTGGCAGGTCTTTGAATATACTAAATCATATTTTGTAGGCGTTACACAATTTATACATGTTTCTTCTGTATACATGATTTATTGAAGTAGACTTGAGTTATTTTTCCACAATGTTAAATGTACACAATTTTCTTGCATTGACTAAAAGTGATTACATTGCCTAGTTTAAATCAATTTAATCATGTTAAACTAAAACCGGAAATGACACTGTTCAAAAAAGGCGCCGTAAAATATTATTGGACGATCTAAAGCGTTTTCAGCCAATTGTGATCATCCAACAAGATTGGAGGAGACGGGTGTAACCACCTGCAGCAGAAGCCTGCCGCTCTTTCCCTCGCATGGAGCTAATGTGGAGTCTGAGTAAGCACATGGATACTGAGTGAGAAAGTAAGTAAAATTACTTTAAGATTAAGCATGAGCCGTTTCTAGACTGTTTTTGTCGAGTTATGTATTCAGAGCACTATGCTAGCTTGCTTTCAATGCTGTTAAGTTGATAACGCTGTGTCGACTGTCGAACGTTCAGTGTTCATGTTCGGTGGAAAGTAGCCTTTTTTTTAAAATGTCCGTGTATGTAGCTATTTTGTCGGCCAGCAAGCTAATTAAACCACAGAAAGAGCAATACAAAATGGATGCCATGTTTGGTGCATTGAGTTATCAGAATTATTAACATGCAGCGCGGGACTGCACCAAATTAAACCTTAAAAACGGTGGCTAGGCTTCAGCTGCGAACAAACTTGGGTTGCCAGCCTTTCAATGCGGCGGGTGCACGCGTTCCGTCGGTGGTTGAGGTGCGCGTGGACCGTTTGTACGCCGTCCGTTAGCTCTGGGTGGGGCTGGGGAGGGGGTGCGCGCGGACAGTTTGTACTCCGTTCGGTGGGGGTGGGGTGGGGGGTGCGCGCGAACCGTTTGTATGCCGTTCGGCGGGGGTGGGGGTGGGGTGGGCGGTGCGCGCGGACAGTTTGTACACCGTTCGTTGGGGCAGCAGGATAGAACCATTGTAGCGTGACGTCACATGCTCAGACGGCCGGTGTCGATACCAGATCTGCTCGGTGTCCTTGTCTCACAGCTAGCTAGCTATTTCAAAGTCATTTGGAAGTCTAAAGTAGTGATATCTAAAAATCCCTAGGTTTTATTTTGAAAGTCTTAAATCGCAGAGATATAGCTCTGGGTAATGGCTGGAGACGGTTTTTCCCTCCAGCAAGTGTGGATGTGCGCAGTTACCCGGATTTAATAACATGCATGCCTGAGCTCCACAGAGAATCCGTGAATAAAGATATATCTGTATGAAATGCACAGGACAGCTGCTTCTCCCCCCCCCCCCCCCCCCCCCCCCCCCCCCAATGAAATCAGAGACTGTGAAGCAAACCCTGTTATATTTCTTTACAGCGTGGTGTTGGTAATAAAATGAATATCATTTAATTTGTTTTATGCTACTGGAAATTTCATAATTTCTAAATTATTGCTTGACTTGAAAATTGACTTGAATGACCGAACATTTTTTGATTATTTACATGTACATTTTCTGTTTGCAGAGTAAGGGTTGAAAATGGGAACTGCTATGATCCTAAAGATCATCTTGGCTGATGGCACCTCTCAGAGACTGACACTCTCCAGTGGACCCCCAGCATCTATTGATGATCTAACTGATGAAGTGAGGAAGCAGTGCGGACTTCATGGAAATTTCAAACTTCAGTTTATGGATGCCTTGTTTGGAAATGAATTCCTCAACCTCACTTCAATTTCCGAAGTAGAAAACAAAGGGACTCTTAAAGTCATTGACATGTCAAAGACTGCTACTGTGCAGCACATGGATGAGGAATCTACTGTTAATCTTGTCTCGGAATCACAAGCATTCACGCCTTCCTCTGTTGGTGACTTCTCATACCTGTCAGGGGTATCTGAGGACACGGATGTGATGTCATCGAGTGAATTGGTTGGCTCACGATCATTGTGGCCTGCTGTGTTTCATGTTCCTACGTTTTCTTTTGATTCAGAGTTGAAACTTCAGCATGCAAATTTGGCTTACATTCAGAATGGAACTACACTTATTCCAGATCCGAAGTTGAAATCTGCAATCCTTGAGAGTTTGGTGCAAGAAATTGTGAAATATAAAGTCTATGCCAACGATAAAGAAATGCATGAGGTTGCCCAGAGTCTCATCAAAAAGCATCCTTGTTTGACAGAGAAAGGGTCCAGCACTGGATGTGGTGGGTGGAAGACCAGTTTAAAATATAAACTGTCTAACTACCGCACACAGCTGAGAAAACTTGGATACCCAGAGGTGACTGTAAACTCTTTAAAAAACAAACCTGTTGGAAGGCAAAGTGCAGCCTTTGGTGTTAAAAAGGCAAAGAGAGCAGAAGTGAATTTTTGTCCACCATACCCAGCAGCAGAAACTGAGGACACACTAGAGACTATGCAGAAATCTCTACTTTTGGATGTAAAGCAGAGAAACAACAGAAAGCTTGTAAAACACAAGATGGAAAAGACCTTTGCATTAAGACGACATGAAGTTGTTCAGGATGCACCAATGGTGGAATCTTTCATGGCGAAATGGCCTGCCCTGTTTGATGTCAGTGAGGTAAGGTTTGCACCATGCATGGTTGTTTATCAAAGTAAAGGGCTTATTTTTTAATAGAAAAACAAAACCTGGCAACAGCTGTTATGGCTGAATGTAACTTGTCTGTGACACTTCTGTTGAGTGACTTGCCTTCAATGTGTAACATGCTATGTCATTTGTGCTCTGTTTTTCAGATCAATGCTGAATTTGAGAGGATAACCACAGTTCCACTACAGTCAAAGTTCCTGTCTCAGCTGGATCTCCACTCTGACACCCTAATAAAGTTGTTCCAAAAAAAGAGGAGGGCAGCTAGGAAGAAGGCTCAAAACGATTGTTGCACAAATACCTGATGTAAGTAAAGTGTGTGTGCTTGTTTATTTATTTGGCAGGCGCTTTTATCCAAAGCGACATACAATTGTTAACCTATAGGGCATGTTGTGATCTGTGGGGGAAACCAGAGTACCCGGAGGAAACCCACGCATGCCTGGGAGATTATGCAACACCACTCAGAAAGACTAGGGGTCTCAAACCATGTTTCTCAAGGGGCCCCATTCAGCATGTTTTAGTATTTTCCCAGCCTTAACACATCTGATCACCTGTTCAGCAGGTCATCATGGTTGTGCACCACAGCTTTGGAGTTTTTAATTATGTGGAGAGTATGTAAGTTTCGGAAACTGCTATCAACTTTCTCAGAATATTTTTTCTACTTTTTTATTCAAATTGTAAATTTTGTTTATTTGTCAGCTTCATGCCTTTTCTTTCCAAAGTGCATGCTATTATAGAACCTATTATATTCTCAGAGAAATGAATACATAAATTTGTGTTAAACCAGTAGATTTTAGACCAGGGGTGGGCAATCCTGGTCCTCAAGGGCCGCTATCCAGCAGGCTTTAGTTGTTTCTCTGCTTAAACACACCAGGTTTGAATCTGCTGGTGATTAACAGGCTGCTGCACAGCCTGATGAGCTGCTGAACAGGTGATTCATCCATGAATCAGGTGTGTTGGAGCAGGTAAACAGCTAAAACCTGCTGGATAGCGGCCCTCGAGGACCAGGATCACCCACCCCTGGTCTAAAGTCTACTGTCTTAACACAAAATTATGTAATTGATAAATGACCCGCACTTGTATAGCGCCTCACAGAGTAAGGACTCCAAAGCGCTTTACACTAGTGTATCATTCATCCATTCACACACATTCACACACTGATGGTGATGAGCTACGATGTAGCCACAGCTGCCCTGGGGAATACTGACAGAGGCGAGGATGTGTACACACACATCACTGCACACATATATACTCAGACATACATCTACACACACACACATAACCACACTCACACAAATATATCTACACACACAAACACCCATCAAGACACATATCTACACAAACATACACACATATCTACACACACACACATATCTGGAAACACATATTTATACACATACATTTTGAATAAAATCCATTCTAGGACCCCTTTAATTTCATGAAAATCTTGATGATTTTGTCTTCAGTGTGACGAGCCAGATGCTGGACGCGAGTGTATCATCAAAGGACTCTGTGTCTACATGGGGGAAGATCCAGAGAACCTTGTGCAGGAATATGTGGTATGTACATGCTTTCCCTCTTATCCCTAGGGTTCCAAATACATTTTCTGGCCAAACTTAGGTTCAAACACGCTTAGCAGATGGTAAATGACCTGTATTTGTATGGCTCCTCCTAGAGTGTTACAACCACCCAAGGTGCTTCATAACAAAATCAGTCATTTACCCAAGCACACACACATTCACAACCTGATGGTGATGAGCTAAATTGTAACCACAGCTGGAGCTCCCTGACAGGAGACCGAAACTGACCAATATCTTGTGAGAAGCTGATATTTATCTCACACACAAACACACCCGTGGGGAGGTATCTTCCAAGACTTGAGACACTCTCCACCTGTGGTTGAGAACATTCTCACATCTGCTAGAAAGGCAGTGAATAATACATCTGAGAGTTTAATTCCTGTATTCTGCTGGGCCCATCAATGGGTGCTTTACAATGAGCAATATATGTGGATTTATTCAGTAGGGTTGTGCCATTTCATAATGTTTACATATATCCAATAAGTATGTGTAGTTACAGCAGAGTCAGTGTGAGTGATAATCTGATTATCCGTGATAATGTCTAATACACCCATGTGTGTTTTTCTGTAAAGGGTCTTCATAATGAGCTTTGTATTTTTATATTAATTTATATATTGTCTCTCTACAGGACATGGATGAAAATGCCATCAAAGAGGTCATTCAAGACACCACCATTGGAATATATGTCATTAAACGATCTACTTCTGCGGAACCAGAGGACATTGGGATTATCCTTGAAGGAATCAGCGTGTTGCAGGATTTGGAAAATGTAGCATTAGCAGTTGCTATGCTATTTGGACTCATGTATGCACTAAACCTCAACTACCCGGTTGACCTCCGTTACACCTTTGAGGTAGTCCAGAAGGTTTTCATGGGACTGGATGGCAGTAAACCTTCCAACAAAACACTTGCTCTCAAAAACCAGCTGTTTCAGTGAGTGATTCAATGACTACAGTTTGTGTTGCCTTTTGTATTGACCCATTTTGGCCTATTGTTGTCTCTTTACTCCACTGGAAGTTGGTAGTGTTTTATTATTCATTGTTGAGTAATATTGAATAGTTTATAACTATGTTTCAAGTCTTTACAGGCGGGTCCTTAAATAGTTCCAGTATTTGAATATTTCAGCAGCTTTGCACTTATCGATTTTCTAGTTAATATGAAAGTTCGATTTTATCATAAAATGTTTTATATATGGGGAGCTCATTCAGAACAGAGGGTTTTCTGTGTCTGGATAGTTTAGCAGCTGTGCACTCATTGTTAATGTGAAAGCCTTGTTTTCTCATGAGATGTTTTAGATAGGGGAAGCTCATTCAGAGTAAGAGTAGCAAGTTTTCAGTTATTCTGGAAAGGTTCATTTGAAACTAAATTTAAAATTCATTGATGTGAAATACAGTATTTAGGACAGAGAAGTTTAAATTAAACTGACTGATATGCAGTTTTGTTCTTTTTCTATTGCTGTGAAGACAATTCCACGGATTCTTTTGTTTCCCTCAAGTCAGTACAAAAATATCTTAAGAGTCAATGATAATGGAAGTTTATTGCTTTGTCATTTTCTGCCCTTAAAATGTTAATAAACTGAGTTTTACTACAACTTTTCAGTTCTCTGGTGTTTTGTCAATGCAGTTCATATTTTTCATGTTCTAATTTGCACAGACATGGGACCAATGAATACATTACATTAGAAACAGGCCATTTAAAAGAAAAAAGTAGGATAGACAAACTTACTTTGCATTAGGTTTACACAATATTTTTGAGTAATTCTAACATGAAAAAATCAAGTTGGTATTATAGTTAAATATTGTACATTGAACCTAAAAAAAGTATTTTGGCATTAATTAAAAAAATTTAATTACATTTGTTCAGAAAAATCATGTTGAGGCAACATGATTTTTTAAAGCAATTTCACGTAAAGAAAATACATTGATTGGGAGAGAGTTTATTAGTAAAAGGAAAGAGACATGTTCTATTGGTAAAACTTATTGTAATCATGTGGAACCGATGTACACATTAAAATCAAGTAAATCCAAAGAGTTATTTTTTTCAGTGCAGGTCTCACAGGCAAAAGATTTTTCTCCTGTGTGGACTCTCATGTGAATGCTTAAATTTCCCTTTCGGCTAAATCTTCGACCACAGGTCTCACAGGCAAAAGGTTTTTCTCCTGTGTGGACTTTCATGTGAACGTGTGGACTTTCATGTGAACGTCTAAAGCTGCCTTTCGGCTAAATCTTCGACCACAGGACTCACAGGCAGAAGGTTTTTCTCCTGTGTGGACTTTCATATGAAGCCCTAAGACTTGTTTATAGGCAAATCTTTGACCACAGGTCTCACAGGCAAAAGGTTTTTCTCCTGTGTGGACGCTCATGTGAATGCTTAAATTTCCCTTTTGGCTAAATCTTCGACCACAGGTCTCACAGGCAAAAGGTTTTTCTCCTGTGTGGACGCTCATGTGAACACCTAAGGCTTGTTTATAGGCAAATCTTTGACCACAGAGCTTACAGGCAAAAGGTTTTTCTCCTGTGTGGATTCTCATGTGACTGTCTAAGACTTGCTTATAGGCAAATCTTTTACCACAGGTCTCACAGGCAAAAGGTTTTTCTCCTGTGTGGATTCTCATGTGAGCGTCTAAGGCTCGTTTATAGGCAAATCTTTTACTACAGGTCTCACAGGCAAAAGGTTTTTCTCCTGTGTGGACGCTCATGTGAATGCTTAAATTTCCCTTTTGGCTAAATCTTCGACCACAGGTCTCACAGGCAAAAGGTTTTTCTCCTGTGTGGACGCTCATGTGAACACCTAAGCCTTGTTTATAGGCAAATCTTTGACCACAGAGCTTACAGGCAAAAGGTTTTTCTCCTGTGTGGATTCTCATGTGACTGTCTAAGACTTGTTTATAGGCAAATCGTTTACCACAGGTCTCACAGGCAAAAGGTTTTTCTCCTGTGTGGATTCTCATGTGAGCGTCTAAGGCTTGTTTATAGGCAAATCTTTGACCACAGGTCTCACAGGCAAAAGGTTTTTCTCCTGTGTGGACTCTCATGTGCCTGTTTAAATTACACATTGAACTAAATCGTTTACCACAGTCATCACAACTAAATGATTTTAGTTCTTTCTGGACTTTCTTGCATGAGTCTACATGTTGCTTCACTCTAACACCTTTCTTTTTGACCAAACAGCTTGAAGACCTTATTGCTGAATGACCTGACACTCTCACATGTTTCTGGAGAGACCTCTTGTGGACAAATTGTTTACCACACTCAGGGCAGCTAAAGGACTTGTTGACAGTCCTAACATGTGAATCAGAAGACCTGCTTTCATTCCAGTCACTGTCCTCTTCTCCAGTTTCAGACCCAGAGTCTGACAGCTCAGAGTCTAGATTCACATCATCACCCTCTTCATAATCTCCACTCATTTCAGTTTCTGAAGAATCAGATGTCTGTTCATGAGGGTTCAGATCTTGGTTCCTGCTAGTGTCTGCTCTTCCACCAGTTTCTGCTATCATCTGGTGAGCTGAGCTGCTGGTTTGAACTTCTTTGTCTTCTACTTGCTGCTGATGAAGCTGTGAGAACAGAGGTTTCTCTTCATCATCCTCACTCTTTATAGAAGCCAATGTGAATGGAAACCTGGCAGCTTCTGTTTCCTCCTTCAAATGGAGTTGCTTTCCCTCCAGACTGGTCCAGTTTTCTTCTTGTTCCTCCTTCATGTGGATGTGTTCTGGGTCTTTCTGGTCCTCACCTGCTCTCTGTTCCTCAGGAGCTTCTTCTTTAACCAGCACCAGCTGTTGAACATCTGTAGGAAACACAGAAGCATGATGTGAATTACCGATCGATGGAACTTAGCATTCACACTTACTCTCACCTAAAGGATTACTAAGAACACCTGTTCAACTTCTCCTTAATGCAATTATCTAATCAACCAATCACATGGCAGCTGCATCAATGCGTTTATGGGTGCGGTCCTGGTCAAAACCTTCTCCTGAACTCCAAACTGAAGGTCAGAATGGGAAAGAAAGGTGATTTAAGCAATTTGTAGCGTAGCATGGTTGTTGGTGCCAGACGGGCCATTCTGAGTATTTCACAACAGGGTCCGAAATTAACACTCGCCACTCGCCAAATGCGAGCAAATTGCTCCATTTGGCGGGTAAATTTTTTAGCTCTATCTGCCACATAGCGAGTAAATGTTTGCACCAAATTAGTTATGTTTATCAGTCATCTTCCATGGATTTCTGATACTCCTTCCGCCTGCGTGCAATGTACACAAACGTACGCGAAACGTGAGTGCCGCATCCAACGTCATTTCCGCCTATCCCATTCAATCAGTTTATCAAGTTAGAGGTTAGCTTCGTGTTAAAACTAGCGGTGAAATGTGGCGGTTTTTAACTGGAGTCAGCCAGCCTTCCAAAAGAAAACTCGTCGAACTGGAAAAAAACCACCAGGACCAGTGGCAACCAGAAGATTTTGTGAAAAGTGACGAACTGGAGATGGCGGAGTCGTAAGACACTGGCTACATTATGAACCAGAATCTGCGCAAATAAGCTGCACCGCTTGCCACCAGCACGCTCGTGAGAAGAACTGTAACAACTCGTTTGTCATAGGAAATAAGACAATGAAGCTTGAGACTATTCGAGAACATGAAAACAGCAAATGCCATATTGCCTGCACATCCATGTCCCGGGCTCAGTCTGAGTCTCCACTGGTGACACCCACAGTCTCTGCACTAATGGCTATGTCAGAGAAAACAAGGTGTCTGACTAGATTTCAATTAAAGAGTTCATAAAAACACCTCTAAAAATATATAAATAAATAGTAAAATGACAAAAGAGATGTTTTTCTTATTATTTGATGTTTTAATTATTTTGTCACTCCTCTCTGTTTGGAATCAACATAATATAGAATAACATGCTTTAGGTAGATCTTACCCCCAAATTCCACTACCTCCGCTCTGCTCCGGTCCGCCCCCGCCTTCCGCAGCCGCTCGCTTCCGAACTCAATTTTTCTTGGTACCCGCTCTACAACGGCTCCGCTCCGGTGCGGAGACCTGAGGTGGGCAAACAGGCATGCGCGGGATTTTCGAGATCTTGCGATACAGTCCGAGCAATAAACGCGGAAGTTAGATCCAAACACCCATTGTGTGGGAGAAGCATCGACATGAACTGTTTAATCTGCCCATCATTTGTGTAGAGAGATCAGCAGTGTTTGGATCAACAAAGTGTGACTACTTTGATAGTGGAAACTGTATTTATGGCTTACTTTTGTGCAATTAAACTTCAGCCGCCATTGATAGTTGTTAAAAGTTGTTAAACTTGTGCATATGAAACAAAATACGCATTTTGTTTATCGATTTATTGTGAAAAACGGAAGTTGTGCTTGCTCCTTTTCCTGTTGGGCAGTTGTGATTTCTGTCCATTTACTGCGGAGGTGCTCCGGCGAAAATAGGATCGATTCTATCTTTGCCGGACGCCGGAAAAGAGGGCGGCGCAAGGCGCCGCACTGCCGGAGCACAGCCGCAGTAGTGGAATTGCTCTGATTGACTACAACGGGACCGATTTTGCTCCGGCGTTCGTGTCGGAGCGGAGGTAGTGGAATGTGGGGGTAAATCATTTAGAATTTTGGCCGGTAAAAAGTATGCTTGGCTGGTAGATTTTCATCATCAACCAGCCAACTTGGCCGGTGAGTCAAAAATTTTATTTCGGACGCTGTTTCACAATCTGCTCAGTTACTGGGATTTTCACCCACAACCATTTCTAGGGTTTACAAAGAATGGTGTGAAAAGGGAAAAACATCCAGTATGCGGCAGTCCAGTGGCCAAAATGCCTTGTTGATGCTAGAGGTCAGAGGAGAATGGGCCGACTGATTCAAGCTGATAGAAGAGCAACTTTGACTGAATAACCACTCGTTACAACCGAGGAATGCAGTAACCACAACACGCACAACCTTGAAGCAGATGGGCTACAACAGCAGAAGACCCCACCGGGTACCACTCATCTCCACTACAAACAGGAAAAAGAGGCTACAATTTGCACCGGCTCAACAAAACTGGACTGTTGAAGACTGGAAAAATGTTACCTGATGTGTCTCCATTTCTGTTGAGACATTCAAATGGTAGAGTCAGAATTTGGCATAAACAAAATGAGAACATGAATCCATCATGCCTTGTTACCACTGTGCAGGCTGGTGGTGGCAGTGGTGTAACCCCGGCTTTCCACGGGAGCCGTCAGCAGCACGTTACTGCAGCAGCACGTCATAGCTGCTGATAGGAACCGCTGTGGTCAACAGAACCTTTTCCACCGGAGCCGTCAGCAGCGCGAGTCGGCCGCGTCTCAGGAGCAGCATGTCGCGGCCTTTACGCGCCGGTTCTATTTTCTACGCGCGACGCCTCTGAAACGGGTCAAGTTCGACATTTTTGGGGAAGGAAAGACAGGAAATCGGACGCAGAAATGGAGAGAAGCTACCGAGATTTTCAGAATAAAGAACGTACTGCCTTCCGGTTGCTTTACTTTTAAAAGGTTACTAACTGTGCGTCCCCGTGAGAAGTTATCACCTAGCTAGCGGTCTCTGTTGTTTTTCAGGTCCGTATTGGCGATTATAAAACGGACAGAACATAAAACACAAACCATGTTGTAATTTTCTCCTGCTTGTTGTTGTGTTTACTGACGAAGTCACTCGTGTGACTTCGTGCTCGGTCGGTGACAGCTGCTCCCCTGCTGCTTCGCATCTCGTGGGAAGGGCCAAGCAGCAGCTTACGCGAGCAAGACGTGCTGCTGCAGTAACGTGCTGCTGACGGCTCCCGTGGAAACCCGGGGTAATGGTGTGGGGGATATTTTCTTGGCACACTTTAGGCCCATTAGTACGGTGGCCCTGAAGTGCAAACCACAAAAACTAATCACTTAACACAACAACAAATTGAAACACGCAACAAAAAATCACTTAATGCAAAACAAATCACAAAACGCACAACAAATTGAAAAGCGCAAAAACAAATTCACTAAATGCAACAAAAAATCACTAAGCACAAAAACAAATCACTAAACACACAACAAATTGAAAAGCGCAACAACAAATTCACTAAACACAAAAACAAATCACTAAACACGCAACAAATTGTAAAGCACAACAACAAATTCACTAAACACAAAAACAAATCACAAAACACGCAACAAATTGTAAAGCGTAACAACAAATTCACTAAACACAAAAACAAATCACAAAACACGCAACAAATTGAAAAGCACAACAAATTCACTAAACACAAAAACAAATCACAAAATGCGCAACAAATTGAAAAGCGCAAAAACAAAAAACAAACCGGAAGAGGTAGGTACCAATGCTGCAACAACAGGCATCACTGATTGGATGACGGATCCGTTAGCCTTTTGAACCGGAAGTTGTTCTGCCTAACGCATTTTTTACAAACATGAACATTACCAGTGATCCACATGTTGCGAATCCACAGGAAGGATGCTAGTAAGAGTGCATTTTGAGGTTGATGACGTCACAGCGCAGCGACGAGTACTGTATGAATTCCAAGAATACTCATTCTCGCGTCCTCAAACGCGTCCTCGCTCCAGCTGTGGATTTTCAACAGGAAGAGAAAATGGGGAGAGCTACGAAGTTTTAAACGTAAGTTTGTTAAAAACTAGCCGTTGAAACCTAAAAAGCTTAAAGCGGTTCAGTTCATAGACATTTTTCGTTTGTATATTTTTTTTAAATTACATTTTAGGCAGAAAATAGCCAGAACGAGTTTGTTTCGCATGTCCCAGTTATTCCCGTGTGTGTGTGTGGGTGTATGTGTGCGTGTATGTGTGTGTGTGTAGCGAATTAAACTTGTCATTTGTTTTAAGGACAACGGAGCAAAGAAGCGTTTTTATTAAGCTTAGAGGTGAAGAGTGAAGCTGTTTACACACAGCCACAGAAGTTCTTCTGTGAAAAGTAGTTTTACATTCAGGGATACACGTTTTAATGAAGTAAAAAGTTTGTGTGAAGAATGTAATTTTTATCTTCTCATGTGGATAAATGTAAAAATGTGTTTATTGCCTTTTTGTCACCTGTGGTCTGATTTTCTCTGTAGGACTGCAGGTGTCCAGGGTCAGGAGAGGCTTTACCTGGTGGTCCTCCTGGGAGAGAGGCCTTCTACTGTCATCATGTTAATGTTATTTAGCTGTTTGATATTTGAACACATTTATTAAAACAAATACTAACTGATAACTCATTCTGGTCATTGATTTTATCACCAGTTTTATTATTACAGATGTTTTTTGAACATGTTACATGAACAGAAAATGAAAAGATGTTAAGAAGACAAGATTATTTATAACACGTTACACTTATTTACAGATCAAAACCAGTATGGACCAGTTATGTACGGTTAAAGCAGGATTAACCTGACTGACTCTTCCTGGATCATTTATTTAAACTGAGTGAGCAGGAAGTCTTTAACAGTGCAGCTGGATCTGCTGCAGGAGGATCCAGACGTGGATGGAGGGCTGGAGCAGACCCGTGGCTGGACTTTTCTGGTCTAAAGACCAAAGGTGACAGATCATTTGCAGCTGTGGCCCCCAGACTGGAAATAATTTTTTTCTTAATCTTTTTTTTCTTAACTTAACAGCTTCTATTGCTAGGTGACCTGATCAGGTCACTTATATTCACTCTTGAGCTGTGTTCCAAAGCCTATTGATAAAAACTTGCAAGATGGGATTTGCAAATGATATTATATACATCTTGCACTAAATGGTATGAGTGAAATAAAATGTAAAATTAATAAATGGTAAATGGCCTGTATTTGTATAGCGC